CACGCTGCTGCAGGGCGTGCACCAGGGAGCCGGCTTCCAAGACAGTGAGTCCCACGCGGCAGCGCCGCGCTCCGCCTTACCGGGGGAGCGGGGAAGAGCCGTTGGGGGAGCGGGAAATATCCCCCGGGAAACGCGGTCCCTCTGTCACAGACGGCCCTTCCCCAGGTTTCACTGGCACGTGGGCGCTACGGGGGTGGCCTGCGTGGGCTTCTCGGGGGCGGCTGGGGTGTTTCAAGGTGGATAAGCGTGAAGGCTGCTACTCATCCTCAGGAAACGCCATTCCCTCCCGTTCTCCTGTCCCCAGGTTGGTCTTCCCCTGTCTCAGTGCAGAAGAGTGTGTTCTTTTTACAGGTGTTTGCTTTCTGGGTTGTTGAACTGGCTCGTAGATTTCCCTCCAAGTGACGTGCAGGTAGATTTTTATGTTCTGCTGATTCTACTGTCGCTTGCCTTCCTCACCTTTTCACCCTGTCCCCCAAAAAGCTGTGATCCTGAGCGCTGAGGAGGGCCTTTAGTCTGGTTTGTACAAGACTGACTGTGCGTGTGTGTGTATAAAATGTGCTTAACCTTACCACATATAAGGGGAAAAGGCTGATAAATTAGGAGCTGCCGTTGATGTGTGTTTGAGTACCGACTGGAGTTGTTCTGCTGGTTCCTGCTTTCAGTCAAAATTTGGGAGATGTTTGACATAATGTTTCCAGGCCAGCCTGTTCCCTCCAAGGCCTGAGAACAGTCCTGCAGGACAAGTTGCCAAATGTGCTTTCTGCTCCCCCACACCCATTTTTAGACTAACTGGTGGAACTACTGGAACAAACGGGGTGTTTTTTTCCCCTTAAATATGTGACTTAAAAGCTGTTTACAAGTCAGTGAATATCTCCTGAGAAGAAGCATCCATTCTGACTTTCCTGGAAACTCTTGAGAAGAATCTGGAGGGGGAGACATCTGGCAGGCCACCCTTTGCCAGTGGATTCTGTTCACCTGCAGAGCTGACTGGCTGTTAGCAGCCTGATGACGTTCACCAGCAGCCCCGAGCTGGAGACCTGGGGTTTCTCTGGTTTCCAGGCAGGTACGCACCCAGCAATGTGCAACACCTGAGCTTTGACCTCTGCTGGCAAACGCAGCTTCCACCTAGTGAAGAAATCTGGCAGCTCTAAAAATGACAGCTGCTGTTTGGCTAATTTACACGAGCATACACACATTTTTCTAAGCTGAGTAAAGGTCTGGGTGTTGTGACAGTTGTTCTGTGTGGGTATCAGCTTCAGGGGTTGCTTTCCAGTGTTTTATGGTACAGACTTGTGTCTGGCTCTGGATTTTTAATTCTGGGAGTGAGCTGGTCCTGGAACTTGCAGAGTATGAGGAGAGATTTGGAATAGTTAAGGAGAAAAAAATGGGGTGGGGGGGGGCTGGAGCTTGTCTTATAATTCTTGTAATATCAAAGATAACAAGTATCTGGGCAGTAGGTTAGGAGGTAACTGGTGATAATAGACCTGTCAGTTTGTCATCAGTTCCAAGCATAATAAAGCCAGCAGAGGTTTAGACTAATAAAGGCTTAGAGGAGAACGACAAAATGCCAGTTAGCAGGCGGGTTGTTAGGGGGACAGACAGCACTTGCCAGATGTGACAGCTGCAGACGGCGCAGTCCTGCAGCATGGTGCTCTTCGGTGGCTGTTCGGCTGACTGCAGCATCCTGCTGGGTCGGTACCACGGTTTGACTGAGGAACTGGAATGGTTCTTCCTCAGTAGATTCAAAAGGGGTAAGTGATGAATCTTGCAGTGGAAGGAGAGGATTACTCACTGCCGTGGAGTGACTTTGCAGCACCAAGGTTTTTCTAGCCTTGTATTTGTGTGTGCTGAAATGTAAGAGAAACTCAACGCTATTAACAATCCACATTGAACTATAAAGATACTAAATGATAAATGGTGTAACTAAATAAACCATATAAATTCATAACTAATTAAAAAGCAAAAATACTAATAATTACTAGAGGCTCACAGGTGACAGAGTGACTAATGACACTTCACGGCTGTGGGTGGTTTCGGCTGGTACTGCTGCCAACAGCAGCTGTCTGGCTTGCTGTGCCCACTTCTTTCCCCCGGTGTGAGTGGGGGGCAACTCTTTTTCCCGCAGCAGCCTGCCGGTTGATCCTTTGTAGTGATTCTTGCATCATCAGTTGACGCAGAGTGATGAGAACTCGAGGAGACAAGGGCACGAGTGAAAATGTGTAAGGGATTTGCACCAGGCTGAGCAATTCATCCTGCCAAAGGGAAGGATAAGGGTGGCATGAGGTCTGTTCATAGAACTTGATCCTTTGTAGTGATTCTTGCATCGTCAGTTGACGCGGAGTGATGAGAACTCGAGGAGACGAGGGCACGAGTGAATACGTGTAAGGGATTTGCACTGGGCTGAGCAATTCGTGCTGCCAAAGAGAAGGATAAGGGTGGCGTGATGTCTGTTCATAGAGCAGCGGGATAGCTGGGAGTTCGATGGAGGGCAGTTTCATGTACCGGTCAGTGCTGTTTAAAGCACTGTCATGGAATCACAGACTGGTTTGGGTTGGAAGGGACCTTAAAGATCATCTGGTTCCAACCCCCCTGCCATGGGCAGGGACACCTTGCACTAGACCAGGCTGCTCAAAGCCTCATCCAGCCTGGCCTTGAAGACTTCCAGGGATGGGGCATCCACAGCTTCTCTGGGCAACCTGTTCCAGTGCCTCACCACCCTCTCCGTGAAGAACTTCTTCCTGACATCTAATCTAAACCTCCCCACTTTCAATTTAAAACTGTGAGCCCTTGTCCTGTCACTACAGGCCCTTGTGAAAAGTCTCCCCCCAGTTTCCTTGAAGGCTCTGTTATGTCTTGCACAATGTCTTTCCCGTGTTCTCCAGGGACTTCCCTCTTGGCTAAACATGTTCTCACTGAGCTTTTCGTCTAACTTTATTGCTGTGGGACAGCCACCTCCCTGCAGCCAACAGCTGTTTCACCCTGCCGTCATCTCCGTGGTCTCTCTCAGCACCAGTCCAGGGACTTCCCTCTTGGCTAAACCTGTTCTCACTGAGCTTTTTGTCTAACTTTTTCACTGTGGGGCGGCCACCTTCCCGCAGACAACAGTTGTTTCACCCTGACGGCATCTCCGTGGTCTCTCTCGGCACCGAGTGTGAGGCTGTGTTTAGCTGTGGGATAAAGCAGTTCTGGTCGTAGCCGTTACTCAGCTGAGGGGAAGGAAAACCAGCAGAGCCTCTGGAACAGAGCTAAAGGGTCACACCTCTTGTGCTCCCTCTGTTCCCTGTCCAACACGGAGCTTGAGAACTGCTCAGAAAGGTGTGCCTCGGCCTGCTGTTAGCTGACCTGAGGCCGAGTGGCAGCCTCTTCTTGGGAGGCTGAAATTCCACTTGCATATTGCCTTTGTTCTCGAAACACGTCATGCTGAGCAAAATGTCAGCGGGATATGCAAGGATGCAGGAGGATGGTTTGAAGCTGAGAGGTTAAGTGTGTCTTGGGTGCTGCTCTCTGAAACGTTTACAGTAAAGATTGTTCATTTTTGTCAGAAGTTCCTTTGGCAGAGGCCAAGGTGCAAGCTTGTGTCTCACTTGGTGGGCGGTTGCCACGTGACGGCTGCCACGGCTGATGCGGAGTTTGAGGACAGTGTTTGAGGGACAGCTGTCACTGAGCTTCATATGTTTCTTTCATTCTGGCTGCCACACAGAGCGCTTTCACCTTCTGCTTCCACCAGCTTTTATTTTTAAGTGCCCTTTTTTCTTTTTTTTCTTTTTGTGAACAGAAATGATGTTTTATTAATTGAAAGAAGCTTTTTAAACACACTGAAGTGACTCCTAGTAGGGCTTGTTGGATAACAATCATCATTGCTTTCACTTTAGCTTCTATGGATCTTGTTTAAATACTCCTGGCTCTCTGCATCAAGGTGCAGGAGAGCCTGTGAGGGGGACCCTCCGCCGGCTTTGGGTCGTGACCGGGGTTTCTGTGAAGGCCGCAGCGAGGAAGCACTGGCTTGATGAGTTCCGTCAGGCCCTGGCTGCGGGCGCCGCGTGGCTGTAACTGCTGGCGGTGAACAGGAGGTGGCAGTGGGTGGTACCTGAACAAGTGCCGGTTTCTCTGCGGACGTGTAACACGGTGCATTGGGCAGGCTAAAACCCAGGTTCTTCAAGCGCATCACTTGAAAGCGGGAAACGTGCAGTATCCCTTCGGGAAGCGACCTCATCTAACCTAACTCTCATCGGTAAGGAAAAATATCTAAGGCTTTAGAACGGAGAAAGAAAAGTTGCTTTCCCTTGACTGTGCGAGTCCGGCAGCGGTGCCACGTGCCGTGTGGGCTCTCTCGGGCCAGCTGTGGGCAATGCTGTTCTGTTCCTTGTCATCTGGTTGTTGCTGGGTTTTTTCTAAACCACTTCACTGGGGTGCTCCCCAGAACCTCCTGTTTATAACCCCTGCACAACTCCACTTGCTCCTCCTCCTCGTACTCTGTTCACACAGCTGGAACTCGGTGTCCGTTAGCAGGTGTCCGTTCAGATCCCTGCTGCGCCCTTCCTCCTGCGGTGCCGCCCGGCAGCGCTGCTGCGTGGGTGGGTGGTGACACGGGCTCTACCTGCCTCGCTGCCCCTGCTGGCTCCTTCCCTTGCCCCTGGCGTCTTTGCCGCGGTCGCGGCTCTTCTGCAGCTACAGAACCTCGAGCGAAATCGCTCCTCTGTTGCCTCCAATGGGGTCGGACACTCGACACCTCTGTCAGCCTTTCTCCGCCTGTTGTCCCTCCCGCAGCACTGCCTGCATGTCACCCTGCGTGGTGCGTCGCTGGGCTCCCTTGCTCGTTGGTTCCTTCCGCAGATGAACACCAATCGCCTCTGCTCCCGCTTCCGTCCATTTGTATCCCCTGTTGCCTCTTGGCCTGTCCGTTGCGTGACCCTCCTGGTGCTTCCTTCCGTCAGTGCCCGTTGGAGTGGGCTCCTCATCCCTGACGTGAGTTTATAGCAGCAGTAATTACGCATGATTAGCAGGGATTCTTAACTAATCCTGGGGCATCGTGGCTCAAGTTCAAAACGAGCAGATTAACCCAAAACTCAGAGTATTTCTCCTCTGCCTGTGTGACTCGTGGTGTGCCAGTGGGTATTTTGAAGGTTGACTGGAATGTCAGCGGACTATCCTGGGCAGCAAAGGAGCGTAAGGAGCACTGCCCGCCCCGGAGACTCTGCTCCAACACCCTGCTGTCCGTCAGGTTCTGAACATTGCGCTCTTTCCTTTTCAGTACCGACAAAATGCCAGAAAGCTCGGGAGCACTTCGGAACAGTGAGGACGCAGCTGGAATCTCTGAAGACCAAGTTTCCCGCTGATCAGTATTACAGGTGTGCAGGGTCACACACAGCCAGGCAGGGATATAGGAGCTGCCTGGGCGCATTTGGCACCGTGACTTTGGAAGAATGATTTAAGGTTTACGGGCTGGATGCTTCTTTCTGCTTGAAAAGCAAAGGGTGGGAGAGAAGTGTGAGGCTTTTCATCAGCGTAGACAAAAAATGCTTTTGCTCAAACACTCCGTTTGTAACTTTTCACTAAAAATACACAGTATTTAATTCTTTTCCTAGAAACATTTCAAAAAGAAAAAGGAAGCTTTAAGAAATCCTGTTGGAGCTGCCCTTGTTTCCGGGAGCAGAGTATTTGCTGCTCCATTAATTTCAGTGAGGTTAGGTTTGGGGCATTTCTGAAAACAGCACTCTAAATCTGTCGTGAAAGGGCTGCTTGACACTGCAGGTGCTGAATGAAGTTGTCACCTTTGTGCTTCCTTTGCTGCCAGAAGGGGACAGTGTCTAGCAAGAACGTTTCAAAGATTCATCACCTTGTCAGCTCCGATCTGCTGAGGGAAGGTGGGAGCGAAAGCCCTGCTTCTCGTGGGCACCCCAGCCCAAAAAACTCTGTGAACAGAGGAGGTGGGGGGTGGGGTGTGAGCAGCGCTGGCGTCCAGTGAAGTTCTGGGCTACCGAGTAGGTGACTTCAAGCTGGTGGCGTTTCGATAAGCTAAAAATACTGCCAAGAGCTGTGTGTAAAGGCGGAAAGCGTAACGTGTGCGTAATGTGTGCCTGTTGCCCGACTCTCTGGTAGTAGCTGTTACGTACTGCTACCCTGCCGTGGTGTTTTCCTCGACAGATTTCACGAGCACTGGAGGTTTGTGCTTCAGCGGTTGGTGTTCCTGGCAGCGTTTGTCGTCTACTTGGAGTCGGAAACGTTAGTGACCCGCGAAGCTGTTGCAGAAATACTTGGGAGTAAGTCCGTGTCGGAACTGAAGAGAACAAGCTTGCGATATTGTCAGATGCTGTCCCTGTCAGAGGTACAGGGAAACGGCGGAATTTCGCTTCTTCCCAAGAAATAGCTTCCAAAATGGGTCTGGTGTTTGGTGTCATTACATAAACAACAGATTCTTTTGGAAGGTGGAAGTGGGCGAATGTTGTTCACAGTGTGAACACAAGTATTTCGTCATTGGTAAGTTCGTCAGTGAAGATTCATTCAAATTGCATCAATCTACCAAAAGAAAATACAGGGATGAGATCTTATTTTTCACACTTTCTGCTTTTAGTGTTAAAAACTATGGAAAATGGATTGAATTCTTCCGCTGTAAGAGAATGTGTCCTCCCAGAGCGAAGGTTTTGGGAGAAATTGGGAAAATATTTTTCTAAGAGGTGACTGCAGATCCCCCTCCTAGTTATTAATGCTGATTTGGTTATTCTGTCGGACCAGTTATAACCTCTTGCGTGTCTAGTTGAGGGTGTACGAGATGCTAAATCAAACGGCTGAGATGAGACGGTGATGATGTCACACAGAGGCAGAGGCTGACTGTGGTTGTGTAATAATGTTTCATACACTCAGCATTTTGAATTAGCTCCAGTAACCAGCTGCCTTGGCAGCGCGCTGGTTTCACTCACGCGTGGTGCCGCCTGATTGCCACTCTGTTTTTCATTGCAGTCGAAGCCGAGCGGGAGCGGGGCTTTCACCTGGACATTGAAGACTATCTTTCTGGCGTGCTGACTCTCGCCAGTGAGCTGGTAAGGAAGATATTCATGTGTCTGTTTGGGTTGAAACTAACTTAAAGCAGCGTTTGCTACCTTTCCCAGGATGTTCCTGGAAGTTATGATAGGTGACCCCTTGTGCTGAACCTCTAGCAAACTGGCTCATAGAATCACAGACTGGTTTGGGTTGGAAGGGACCTTAAAGATCATCTAGTTCCAACCCCCCTGCCATGGGCAGGGACACCTTCCACTAGACCAGGGTGCTCAAAGCCTCATCCAGCCTGGCCTTGAACACTTCCAGGGATGGGGCATCCACAGCTTCTCTGGGCAACCTGTTCCAGTGCCTCACAACCCTCTCCAGGAAGCACTTCTTCCTGATATCTAATCTAAACCTCCCCACTTTCAGTTTAAACCCGTTTCCCCTTGTCCTGTCACTACAGGCCCTTGTAAAAGTCCCCCCCAGCTTCCTTGTAGCCCCTTCAGGTACTGGAAGGCTGCTATAAGGTCTCCCTGGAGCCTTCTCTTCTCCAGGCTGAACAAGTCCAACTCTCTCAGCCTCTCTGTATGCCAGAGCTCACTGGTATTTTAAGATTTATCTAGTTAATTGATTGAAAATCCAGGATTGTTGCCCCCCAAAAAAACGGGGCAGATCAAGTGTAAATAACCTGACTGGAACAAAACCGTTTCATCTGGTGAAGTAAGAGATGGGAGCAGTGATGTGATTTGGGTGGGTTCCTCTGTGATGTTCTCCTGTGCGCCTTCCCCTCCAGGCCAGGCTGGCCGTGAACAGCGTCACGGCCGGTGACTATTCTCGCCCCCTCCGCATCTCGACTTTCATCAACGAGCTGGATTCCGGCTTCCGCCTGCTCAACCTGAAGAACGACTCCCTGAGGAAACGATACGACGGCCTGAAATACGACGTGAAGAAAATTGAGGAAGTGGTTTACGACTTGTCGATCAGAGGACTCAGTAAGGAGGCAGCGGGGGGTGGGGAGAAGTGAAGGACGCTCCTGGTAACGGCATCATCGATTACCTCCGATGGTTGCCAGTTCCGACAGTAGCTTAGAAGAAGTGCGGCTGAAAGCTGCTCTCTATTTTCTTACAAAAGGTGTAGTACGGGTGTTAGATCTCAGTGTTTTGTAAAATCGCATCTAGATTAGGGCAGGGGGCCGTTCCCCCTGGGGTTCCTCTGCCGAAACACAGGGTGCCATTCTGTGCCCGGCAGCAGCAGGGGTCGGTGTGAGCTCAGTAGTTCCCTAGCGTCGCTTGGCTGCCCCGGCCGTGCTGTGCTTCCGCTGTCGGTGCTCGCGCCTTCGAGGTGGGCGCAGCACGCGGCTCGGTGCAGATCCGTGTCGTGTTTTGGAGAACACGCTGTGTAAATATCTAGCCTTTTTTCTTTTTTTTTAAAAAAACTTTTTTTGCCTTTTTGTTCCTTAAATTTTCACCTACGTCAGTAAGTTGAACAGATTTGCCTAACTGTTTATTACCCAGTTCTTTTAAAATCGCTTCTGTTAATGTACTTTGGTCATTGGTCATTTCCCCTTAACTGAGAAAATAGTGAAAATATTCCTGGGAAGCTCTCCATTGGAAGCGGGGTGTTGCACCCACCCCGCCCCCCTTTGTTTTTTCCTTGCCTCCAAGGTTTCTGTTGCCAGGGAGAGCAAATGCCTGCATCCACTGTCTGGTGTGTGTCTTACTGACCTGGGTAAATGCTGAGGTTTATTGTGGTCGTTGGCCTTGAGAACCCAGTGTAACTGATTTCAATTGGTTTTAACTCCCAAGATTCCAACTAGGGAAATGATGACTGGTAAACCAAAGGCAGCGGTTGAGGCTTAACAACCTGTTCAGGCCACAAGGGTACCTGTGCCCCAGCATTAAAAAAAAAAAAACCCACACCAGAACCGTAGTCCGCGTAGTAAAACATTTGTACCTTCAGGAAAGGGGAAGTTGCGCGTTTCGGATACTCTGTCTGCGAGGTGTTCGCAAACACCGCCAGCCCCTTGCGTTTGTGCGAAGGGACAGACTCCCCACCCAGGCTGTTCGTCCTCTTGTCCTCAAGGACTTGGAGTTTTGCCTTTCTTCTCCTCCTTCTGGTGGTACGGGAGGATTAAGGAATAAAACTGGCGTTGTTAGGAGGAGGAACATTTCCCGAGGATGACCACGAACAGTCAGGTTTGTTAGTGCTTCATTTGGTTAGCAAAGACTTACCACTGTTGCAGTTAGGGTTTGGTTTTGTTGATTGGAAGAAAATGCTTTCATGGTTATTTTGGCCAATAAAAGCTGTTCCTTCATTTTGGACATTTGCTAACTGCCTGTTGTCTGACTGTTGTTGCTTGCTTCCCTTCCTGGGAGCCGCCTCGGAAATACTGTCATTACGTTCAGCTGCACCTGGGCAGTAAGGGAACTCCTCACTTTGCCTGCGCGCTGCGGGGTGGTGCACACTTACCCGCTGCACACGGAGCCCCAGACAGGTTTCATAGGTGCTTTTCTTTTTATTTTGACCTATTTCGCAGCGTAAAACAGGAGAGGTAGGGAGGAGTTTATCCTTACCTAATCCAGGATGTGGCAAGGTTCATCTTAAGAGCATCTCAGAACCATGGAATCACAGACTGGTTTGGGTTGGAAGGGACCTTAAAGCCCATCTAGTTCCAACCCCTCTGCCATGGGCAGGGACACCTTCCACCAGACCAGGTTGCTCAAAGCCTCATCCAGCCTGGCCTTGAACACTTCCAGGGATGGGGCATCCCCAGCTTCTCTGGGCAACCTGTGCCACTGCCTCACCACCCTCTCCGGGAAGAACTTCTTCCTGATATCTAATCTAAATCTACTCTCTATAGAATCCGAGAATGGGTCGGGTTGGAAGGGACCTTACAGATAGTCTTTCATGTTTGTCCTCATCCTGTCTCTGGTGACACACAGCATGGGGAGATGGTAAATTCCCTCTTGGACAGCTGAAGGAAGGGAGGTGTAACTTCCTGAGCCCCTGGCAGAGAGAGCGGCCTTCAAAGCCCTTCTCTGTTCTCGCCCTGTGCCGCTGCGCTCCTTTCTCACTTTCACCCCGCGGAGGTGGGAGGAAGGAAGGAGCTTAAGGCAGCTCTGCTGCCAGGACCAGAGACTGGTGAAACAACACCCTGAGGTTCCGAGACAGAGCCGTGCAGACCAAGGTCACACAGGAAACGTGGGAGCAGGGGAATTAGAGCCGGGTTTCCTGGGCACTGGTCTGATGCCCCTCAGGTTGGAGGACTCCTGGCACCCAGGGCAGGTGTTTATTAGGGCTTTGGGGTGGCTTGTGTCCTTGTGCCCCAGGTGCTGGGTTGCATTTGGTCACACAACAGGTCTGCTTCCTGGCACAGGATCCCATGGCCTAACGCCGTTTTTCGGTAGATCCTGGATCTGCCAGCTCTTGGATCTGACGTGGTTGCCAGAGCCGGTGGAGGTACGCGAGGGCTGTGCCACAGGTGCAGAGGTGTAGGTACTGTGGGAGGGACGACTGGAGGAGCAAGTCTCTGACTTAGAGCTTACCGAGTCCGCAAGGTGTGGGATCCTTCTGTCTTGGGCTCTGTGGAGAGCAAGTGTGGCGCGGTCGACACGCTGG